CATACTACTCCTCTACCAATGTGGGACAATACTACACTATATACATGCTGTAAATTAACACCCTTGGTTATGCCAAACCATGCAAATGCACAGCCTTTCTCATTCCCTTATGATTTGTGATACATGGTGTTATTTTCAACGTTGTCTGTTTCTTGCTTCTGCCTTCAATTCTCATTTCAATTGCAATCATGTCAATGGGACCATGCGATCTTTTTATTTTTATTTTTTGCATGAAACATGTCTGGTGTAATTAATGTGATGCTCCATTTTTGGATTATCATGGGTCATCCGTCAGTCAGGGAAGCCTATGATAGCTGGTTTTTGTGAAAAGTTGATAAGGCCATCAGAAGGATATGGAAAATGATCCCAGCACCTATTTTTTGGTGTATCTGGACAGAGAGAAATCGCAGACGTTTTGGTGGTGTCTCAACTCCAGCTTGTTTTCTCAAGGCTAGATGTTTAGTTTGTCTTTTTGGTTGGAACTACATGACCCCTGTAACTAGCACCGACTATTTTTTGGACTTTGTTAGCTCCCTTATCCTATCCTAGCATTGCTTTTTTGTATTAGCATAGCTAACCGTCATCTCTCTTTGTACCCTTTTTTTTCTTATGCATCTTCTTGATGCCTTTTTAATGATAACACCTTACTTCATAAAAAAGGAATTAATGCGATTCTCCTTTCATCCAGGTTTCAGAATCAAAAGCTTGATTCAAGTGACCTAAGTCAAGCTATCCAAAGAGGTTGATCTTAGTGTTATGTATATCTTAGAAGGTGATTTTCTTTTTGTTCTTTTTTTTTTTTGAAAAAAATTGGTTGAATTTTTGTCTCAGGTTCTAATCAAAGCAAGAATGACGCAAAATTACCTGAACCAAAAACTGGAGAAGTGGCAACATTGCAAAAGTATTATGTTCTCTACCTTCTATTTTAGTCATTCATTTAGCCCATAAGCACAGCTGATGTTTGTTGTCTTATGGATAAAGGGTGGTAAGCCCCAATTTTCCAGCATTGCCCAATTGTAATTTGCCAGCAGAACTGAAATGCCCTCTCTGCAACACCTTTTTTAAGGATGCTGTGATGATACCTTGCTGCCAGCACAGTTTTTGTGAGAAATGTGAGTAGTATCTGCATTATTGAGCAATTTCATCGATTCATCTGTCCCTGCTTCGATCATGCATTTGTTTCTTTTGAAATGTGCGCATTTTCATCACCTTCGCTATTTGCCTTTTTTTATCATTTAAGCTTCTGTTCTTGGATAATATATTCATCATTGAGAATATACTTCTAATTTTTCTGGGTATCTGTAGGCATTCGCCTAGTTCTTCTTGAAAAGGCAATGTGCCCAAAATGCCTTTCTAGTAGATGTAAAGTGGAAAATCTGCTACCAAATTTATCTCTCAGGCAAGCGATTGAGCATTTTCTTGAATCTCAGATGGTTGTCACTGGGTCAGAAAATGCTTTACGCAAATATGCTCCAGGTGAAAATGATTGCTATATGAGAAATGTGAATCTTGAAAAGAGACTGCTAGTGAATGAGGGCTGACTGACCTGCTTCTCAATGCAGATGGTGAATCTGGAATTCAGGTGAAGGATGTTTCCTGTGCTGTTACTGTTGTACAACGGGAACCAGAGATGCCTCATTCACCCTCAGCTACCGGAAAAGGATCCAATCAAGTAATGGCAGAATCTTTTTATGACTCACTTATTCGGAAAAATTCAAGGACAATGCAACATATGGATGGAGGAAGAGGTCGATATGCTAATCACTGGAATTTTCCAAGTGTACCTGATGACCCAGAAGGTTGTCAGGGTGAAAGCAAGCCTCTTAATTTGCTTCATTCACATGTTCAGGATGAAGGTATTAGCTCATAACTGACTAGTTTTTGTAGCTATTTCTTCTGCATGTGAAATGTTCGTATGGTTCTCTTTTAAATGGTGAACATCTCAATATCCAATGTTTGCAAGTGCCGCCCCTGTCCCCACTTCACTATGAAAGAAAAGCAAAGTCAATTCTGGTTTGTAATCTTTACTCAAGAAAAAAACTGATTTTCTTTTCCAATCACTATCTTACATAGATTTGAGTTTCAATTTCTATTGTACTTATTGTCTTATCCTTTTAGCTGGTTACGTTTAGTAACTTTTTGCATTGCTCTAGAGCATTGGATGTTTTAGGTTTTTCGTCCCCACCTACTAAGTTGTGATAAAAAATGTAAAAAGGAAATAAGCACTGTTCAAATTGATTGTCTCTTGACTAAAACAAGTTGTATCACTGCATGCGGTAAAAGGTTGAGATTTGTTTTACTTTTACAGTCCCTATATTTGCTTTGTCTCCTGGATTATTGCTCTGTATAGTGGTTTTAATGTACTTATTCACGGACTATTTGATTACAGCTGATTCTTCCATCAAGAAGAATAAAGGCCAGTGGTGTGACACAAGAGGTAGGGTTTACTTGTGGTACTGGCATTCTGAATTTCGTTCTGGATCTTTTGCTTTCTTAATGCTGATTTTTTCTCATTAGTAACAAATCTTTTGTTGCTTATATATCTTAATGCAGGTGGGGACGTGAATTTTCTGCCTGCTGGTAGAGTTAAAAAGGTATTATGCAACTTTTATCCAGTATACTTGGCTACTGTTTTATGGTATTTTCATGTGGACATGTGTGCTAACCATTATAAAACTATAACAGCTGAAGCTTTTCTGTATCTTATCTTGGGTTCTTGTTTCCATTTTTCTTTGATTTTAAGATGAAATTGACCTATATGCTTTAAAGAGAGGTTAGTCTTACTTCAGGCTGAGCATGGTCAGTGATTTTAGGCTTAATTTTGAGTTATTTGTAATGCCTTCACAAACATCAACCCATGTTTTGCGTATAAATGCATGTTCTTTCTTGATGTCTTCATTTACTTTCTACTTGGCTATGTTAAGCTTTATTGGAGGAAGTGTATTTACTTTGCTGGCGTTACTTTAACTTATGCTTTTTCGCTTATTTAAGAAAGAAGCATGTTCTTATTAGTGATTTGTGGATCCTGAGTCCGGACATTTTTCTACTTTTGCCTTACTGGAAAAAAAGGTAAAACTATCGTCCTTGTTGTTACTTCTAACGCTGGTTCTAGAATCAAGAAACATTTCTACTTTTTTTTTCCTGTGGCTTGAAACTAATTTGTATTAAAATACATTGTTCCTGATATCCTGGCAATGTTTAAGTTATACAACAATTTTGGTTTATTGATCAGTGATAGCCAGAGAAAGATATATAATCTTTATGTACTGATTGGGAAAGAAAAATGATTATTTAATTAGTCATGCTGCTTTGTAGTGTAGGGCCTGTAGGCATAAACTGATGATAGTTTATCTTAATTGTTCTTAGGACCGTAACTGTTACATGTGTGGTTCTCCCGATCATCTCATCAGAGACTGCGCTTTTGCTTCCAATCCAAATCCGATGCTTCAGACAGGTATGCCCATTGTCTGTTTAATTCACATCATATGCAGTATGATGTCTGAAATATTTTTGCTTTGGTTGTGCTTGAATCAGGAAATCCCATGCTTACGGGTGGGTTTCCAGGCTATCCATCACCTTACTGGAATAGCAATACATATTCCACATTGAGGCCATTTGCAAATATGTATGGTAATGCTGGAAATGCTCCATTTAATGCTTATATGGTTCCTCCAACACCTTTTACTGCTCCTTATATGCGATCAATGCATGGTGGCGTGCCTTTACCTGGGTAAGTAGTTCTTTAGGTGGATATATTTGATGAACTTTTGTAGCTCAAAGGGTGCTTGTTGTCATTTATCTAAATGAATGTCCTTTATCCTTTTAAGATCCAAATGAATTTAAGACCCTGGAAACTTCTTGCAGAGGAATCATGAGAATGGGTGGTATGGCACTTCCAGCTGGAAACAGAGATGATCTACCGCTGAACCAATACGAGTACATGGGCCTCCAGCTTGCGGAAGATAAAAGCAGAATTCAGAATGAAAAACTGGGAAGGTAAGTCTGCTACATAAATCAGTCGTAGAGTGTGATTGGCACAGGTTTATTTCGCTCTCGCAATATCTAAAACAGGAAGTAGCCTTCCAAATTTTATATGTCATAGATTGCTTTTGGATCTTAGCTAGATGTAAGGCATTATTTGGAGTGGATATGATTCGGTTTTGGTTAAATCAGTCCCATTGTTCCTCTCCCTCGCGATCCTCTCAAATTCTGAATTATCACATCTCAAATGGTTGCTGATTAGTGGTAGCATGCATACTTTTCCTTTTGTCACATTATCACTCAAACACTTATTACAAGCAACAATGGGACCATCTGAACAATATGTTTTGTGAATATATGTTATGTCTCTTAGTACTTTGATGTGTCATTTGTTTTCTGGAATTGCTGATTTCAAGATTACTGTAGAATATCGATCAGTCAATTATCTCTCTCCTTTGATTGCTCCCAAGTATCTCCCTTGTTTTTGCTGGCTAAGGCTCCGTCTAAAATCCAATGATTTATTTGTCATCTTGTCAGATTTTACAGTTAAAGCAGGTTTGACAAAGGCCAACTATAGACTTTAAGAAGGTTGCTACTTTACAAAATTAGATTTTTCAACCTTGACAAATTCACTCCGCATTTCAATGTCATACAATATTGAATTCATTGACATCAGTCCTCGTGTCTGACTCTTGATGCTTTCCTGCTGAAGTAAAAAAGTGCATTCTTTCCCTTCAAAGTATGGTCAAACAGGATTCTTCTTGACCACTTTAATCATATGTAGCCAAATATTCTAGTGCTTTCCCTTTGAAGAATTTTGTTATTTCCTTTGTCCTTCTCTAGAATAAGCTGAGAATTTATAACACATAATAGTACTGAGTTTCATTTCAGTACTTGTCATACTTCTTTTGCCTTTATCCTGCCTCCAACCTCTCATCCTTGATCCTTCTATAGTTTTCTACTTTTCTTTTCATTTTCTTTCCTTTTCATGTAGCAATTGTCTGATTGAACTATATTTTAATTAACACTATCATATTACAGTGGGCAATATTGTCAGGCTGAGTCAAACGTTAAGGAGCATTACCCAAAAAATGATCGAGAAGCATCAGGAAAGTTCCATAAGGAGAGGGAACCAAGTACAAGCTGTTCTGGGGACAGCTTTGTTCGAAAAACACGGAGAAAGCACCTCCATGTTGAGAAAAGAAGGGAGAGAAGTCCTCATTCCTCATCTGCTAGTAGAGATAAGGTGCCTCGTCACTCTGACAGGTCCAATTCTGTCACTGATGGTTTTCCTAGTAGTTCTGATAGGCGAAGGAGAGAAAGTCAACACCACCATAGTCGGGACTCAAGAAAGCGCCATGAGTGTGACTCTACTTTGGATCACTATCAAGCCTCTGATCGTAAATACAGAGTCGATTCTCATGTAAGAGAATCTCATCAGAAGCATCACCCAAGTTCTGCACTAGAACCTAGTTCACCTGTGCACCAGAAAGCACGATTCAAAGAGAGGGGCTTTGGGCATGATCCAAAGTACTCCAGGCCCCATGCAAGAGACTCCACCAATGAGGTACATGACAACAAGAGACGGAGAAGCAGCGGCTCTTATGAAGATCACAGAGACGATTATTATCACAAGCGAAAAAGAGTTCATTGAGGGTAATGAACATGACTCATGTGGTAAACTTGTAAATGAAGTTGCGCTCAAATCAGTGTAGGTGATCAACCAGGTTCCTGTTTCCTTTCAAATAGGTACTTTGTATTAACTTGGTTTTGTTGTAGCTTTGGTATATGGTCTTTTATATCCCTATAGTTGATGGAAATATATAGGTCCCTACAACTTATAAAATACATAGGTATTTTAGGATCTAATATACAATATCTGTTGGCTTTGTTGGTACAGATCTGTAGAATGGTCGGCTTTTGGACAGTAACATCATGACTAACCTTTGTTCATATTCCTAACTAATCCTCTTCACTTCTTTAGTGTGAGGTCTGGATGCTAGACAAAGGTTTTAACCAGAAGCCAACTGGTTACAAATAGTATTTTGGATCATTTTATATGCTGCCGAACAATCCTTTTGGACAAAGGTATGGAAGCTGATTTGAGGTATGTTCTCTGTCTTGAATTTGGAATAGGTTTGTTAATGCTTACTGCAGGTAAGTTCAACCGCTTTCACTGGATCTGGGACAAGTTGCTCCTCGAGTCCTATTCACTTAATTTGGTCCACCTACCAATTCCTTTTAGCTAACAACTAAATCTATCAAATAAAATAATAATTGCTATGATACCCGTCAATATAATCTATGAATACTATGATAACATAACTTACGATAAAGTTATACCGCGATATGTTGGTGAGATGCCTATATTCGAACAAGAGATGCACAAGCACTTGTGGAACCTTCCTTGGTTCACTGCGACAAGATTAGTTCTAATTTAAGATCTTGTATCATGGTACCCCAAGTGGGCCTCTATTACATTGCACGGTGGTAAAAGTGTGGCCTGGCATTACCTGGAACATGACGCAATTCCTCTGAGAATTCCTGGACGAGAACAAACGGGATCGCATTCAATTTCTTAATGAAAGCTCCCAATATATTAATTTGGAAGTAAAGAAATGTTAAATTCTAATTAAACATAAATCCTAGGATGGCAATGGTGTGACCATGTTCAGACCCGTATTAGATGATGTCGGGATGTATGCTGTCTGACACAATCTCCATGGTTTTTACGGATGTCTAGGAAAGTGTGGTTTGTCGACAACAGTACGTTATAGTGGCGCTCGATATGTTTTCACGTATATTGCTTATGTGGTTCGTCACAAACAAGTATTCGCTGTCAAAGTATTTTAGGAGAGTTCTGTTTGAGGTAGGTTGAGACCAGATCAATCGGGATGAAGAGGCAACTAGTCACCAACTATTGACAAGGAAAAAAACGTAATTACATCCAGTATTACACCAACCTAGTCCTAATGTGACATGTTCTCACATGTACATTTACAAATATATACCCCAATTTTTATTTAACCATTATAAATTACTAGTACATAGTTTTTGTGTAAGTATCGGGTGCTTATGTTTTTTGCCTAATGTCGCTAGGTACAGTATGTGCCATGTGGTGCATGATTCAGAAACGGGAGGATTTACTTGTGTGATTTATCTGCCATATAGCAGGCACTTTATTGCATAGTTAATTAGATTGATTAATACACGCTTGTTCAACAGAGTAGTAGCTGAACTGTTGCTTGCTTCCAAGCCATGCATTATCCTTATTTCTTCTTGAAACACTTTCCTTGCCGTCCCTCCAGAAACCCCCCCTCCCCCCTCCGCGCTCAAAAGAAAGACAACGGGCTCACTTGTTTTGTTTTCTTTGTGTCCTTCGGAAAATGCAAAGGAATNCACACACACACGCACCAAAAAGTATTCAGGAGAAGGGGAGAGCCGAAAAGAAAAAGAGAGAAAAAGGACCGAGCTCCTTCATAATTTCATAATTCCTTTGAAGAAAATTTTGTGAACTGGGAAAAACAATCCTACAGTAATTTTCTCAAAGTAGGATTGTCGATGGGCTCTTCAATATAATTGCACTCAGCCTTATTGGATGTACTTTATACGGGCAGTCGTAAATCGGTCTCTTACCATGCAGGTTCTTCTTTTAGCTAATAATATTGGTGTTGTGTATTATTAAGCATCAGTTATTTGGCCTGATCTAACTGTAGGGATACTTGCAACTTTAAGCCTAGAGCTGTTAAGCGGGTGAATTTAATTTTGGCTTAGTACGAAATTGGCTGAGATGAACAGGTCATGCCCCGACCTCTTAAAGTTGCTTGGGTAAAACTCGGTTGGTTCAGTTAGGGTTGAATAGCAGTTAATAACGCAACCTGTGCATTACCGATTCAAGTCAAACTAACGGAGAATTCCATCTACTTGACGGCTGTTTTGGGGGCAAGTGCACATGTAGCCATTTTCAGGGTGTTATTTAGAGATTTGCCAATGCTTATTCTGTTCTGAAATTTTAAACTAAAAATTTTAATTTCGGGACACTTTTATACTGCAAAACTGAATTGAAAAATTGAAATTTAGGACGTACTGATTAATTTTTAAATATCAACCCTTTAAAGTGGCTATATGGTGTCATTTCTTTGTTTTTTTATGGGTAAATTTGGGCTTTCTAGGTACGTCAAGTTGACCTTATTTTTTGAATGGATTAGTTTGATTTTGTGCCAGATTAATCTATTATTTTATTTATTCTAAATCAGACCCACTCAAAATTTTGAGTGGCTGGGTGGGTTTGGTGCGCGACATTTATATGCTGTTGACTTATTGTCTGGTTTAATTTGATCCACTTATATTGACTTGGGGGGTTGCGTCATGAATTATCTCTCATTTCAATCCGGTTTCACTTTACAGATATAAATCTGCTCATATAGCATTTCAATTGTACTTAATTTGTCGATTGGCTCAGCTTAGATTAGTGGTTTAAACTCATTGAGTGCCAATTCCGATACATATATCTGTATTTTGGCTGATATAATTTTCTATAATAGTTCGTTAAAGAAGCTATGGATCTTCGCTTAAATGTAACGCTTATTCTAAAAAAACAAATGAAACTAACATGACCTTATTTCTTCATGTTCTGATGGGTTTAATGTGACATTTCTTGTCTTTTAAAACGTGTATTTAGTATTTGCCAAGCATGTATGTATAAACTTTTTTCACGTATGTATGCTTTGGATTGTCTTTTGTCTTCTAGAAAGCTAGACATTTGTTTACCAGAAAAAGAAACAGTCAAAATGTTTTCTAAAACAGTTCATCGAAATTCAACTTCAAGCACTCGTTTTGCAACCTAAAAAGGGAACGAGAACCATAATGAAAATTGAATGCCTCACATTATTAGAACATTATGTATCTAATATTGTCTTTTAGGCATGTTTTAATTGGTGAGGTAATCATACGTACCAATTTATGACCTTAAAAAATTGAACCAAATCAAAAGCCAAATAAATCAGATGTGAAAATCTAATATATCCTTTGATTTGATTTGGTTTTCAATTTAAACAAATTGACAGTATTTAGTTTGGTTTGACATTTAAGAAAAAAATCAAACCAACCAACTGTTGAGTATATCCATTTATAAATTTATATGACCATAAGTATTTAGTTTTATAGAGATGCCTTATATATTTTAAGCCATAAAAAATTGTATTGACATATTTGTGTGTACTTGAGTTTTCTATTCTTCTATATATTGTAATTAATTAGGAGTGATTTGTTTATTGTTTTAATCATTGAGGTTGGATGAGTTTGATCTACGAAAGTGATTAATTTTTACATCTCATGCATCGTTAAATTTGTTGCAGATATATGTTTAAATATAATAGCTTAATTAATTTTTTCAGTTTTTGCTAAACATATAATGTTGTATGTGAAATTATGTCTTTAATTTTAGTAGATTGAATGAAATGAATTTGTACTTCATGCAAAAAGAAAAATATAAGAAGGCCGAAATTGGAACACAAAGTAGACTTTATTTGGTTTTAGTTTGGTTTAATTTGTACATCTATTGAATCGAGGTTTTGTTTTGGTTTAGATGAAAATCAAACCTAATTGAATCACGAACACCCCTATTTTGGCGCATGGAATTTGATTAATTTTTGGAGTTACATCATATTCAATCATTTTAATATTTTAAAATTAAGTACCGTAAGTTGCAATTCTTTTCATGTCAACACGATAAGAAAAATATATTTTATAATATTGGTCAAGTTTTTCATAACTGATTGAGCTAGCTAGAAGCAGGAACTCCTATTTATTTAAGGCTAGCTGTAAACAAAGAAAACAAGAGATTCGTGGTTGTACCGATACCAGTTGACAGCAATTGGCCAGTTTCCTACAGTTGACCGATTGATCCATAAGAGCGGTAAGGGAGTGATATTTACAAGGACGGGAAGCGGTATCGAACAAGAAGAGCTGGAAACGAAGCACCCTTTGAAAAGCTTCTATCTGACAGGAGGAAGGGAAAGTATCACAAAATTGAGATGGAGGGAATATTTTTTAGCGCCTTGCTTCTGGCTAAGCTCCAATCATACAGTGTCTCGTCTGGTGTAGATAATATTAAATATAATCAAAGCAGAAAAAATTCGAACAAAGTTCAGTATAAGAGTCTTCACATTGTTTTTCCGAAAGAAATATCAGAAAGTACAGTTATATACTTTCTGAACCCTGGTTTCTTGTTAAGCTCTTCTCCTGTGAATCTTGCATTCACCACTTTTATCTCCTCTATATATATGCTTCTAGCACCTGTATAGAGGGTGGGAAGTCAAGCAATAGTAGTTGGTCAATCGGAGACTGCTACGAAATCTGTTTCTTTCTTTTTTTAATCAACTTATCCAGTCTTTTTTTTTAATTACTTCTTATTCCTTTTTTAAAAAACTTTAATCATTTCCAAAATAATGATTGATTTCTTTTTTCTTTGACATTTCTTGGAAGTCCAAGTCTGCCCTAGTGATGTGTTAGAAGTTTTTGCTGATAATATAGCAGTTGTTCATGAGCGGTACATTCTTGTTTTTCTTTTATGGTGCGTTCATTTTTGTGATATATTGGTGATTTGTTGGTGAGTTAAACACCCCATTATTTATCGAATATATAAAATAAGTTAATGTCACTTAACAACGTCGTTGTAGTATAGTGGTGAGTATTCCTGCCTGTCACGCCGGTGAACCGGGTTTGATCCCCGGCAACGGCGATTTATTTTAATTAATTTTTGTTTTTGGTTCTTTTTATCTGAGACAACGAGGCCCTACTCGTCGGACTGTAGGCGAAGGAATTGTGCACGTACTAAACAAGATTGGGCTACCACAAAATCTCAAAGTGTAGGCCGAAATCAACTCACGATTTGTATAGAATGGACGTTGCCTTAAGATTGGATCTCAAGACCCTATGGTGATTATTTCCCAGAATACAAGGTTAAAGAAAGTATATATTATATATTCTTTAATTAACTGAACCATATTGATATTAGGTGCTTTTCTAATTTTCTCTTTCTATTTTATTGTTCTCTGGACTTCATTCTAATATACTGGTTAAAGTTCTTATGCGGTTGAAGTGAAATAAATGAGAAGTCCCCTGAAGGTCAAAATTTCGAATCTCTTAAATGGTTAGGAAACGCAAATCTCTCATTTTTAAAGTAGGCCTTTTTTCTCATTCAGGGATTAAAAATGAACAACAGTCTATATCTATATTTATCTATATATATCTATCTATACTATATTAAAAGTACAAAGACATTTAACGAAATATCGTTTGCCTTTTTTACCCTTTAAAATATAATTTCACATTGAATAAAATAGTAATTTTATTTTCCTAATATTTGGGATTCTAAAATCCTATAATTTTAATATTAAATTCTTTCTTATTTGAATTACATAAGAAGTCCTAATATTTAGGACCTTCAGATAAAAAGTTTTAAAAAAAAAACTTTAAAAAGGCTTTGATTTGGGTGCTAAAACTACTCTAAATTTTAGAGGATCTAATGTTTAGGGTGTTAGAGTTGTATTCTAGAAACGTCACTCATTCTATTGTAGCACAAATATATAAGTAGTTACTCGTAATCGAGCACGAACTTTCATATAATTGAAAAATCTTAACCCTTGATTTAAAAAAAGTAAAAAAAAAGCAAGAAAAGAGCTTTGAAAGTTTAAATTGGATATTCCAATTATTCTAAAAGAATGTTATTTTTGCATGTACCCTAGGATATATGAGTAATGCCTTTAGCGAAATGTCGTTCGCCTTTTATACCCTTTAAAATAGAGTTTCATATTGGACAAAATAGTAATTTTATAATTTTTCTAATATTTAGGATTTTAAAATCCTTTAATTTTAGTATTGATTTTTTTTTATTTTGAAATATACAAGAAGTCTTAATATTTAGGACCTTCAAATAAAAAGTTAAATAAAAAAAAGCTTTAAAAAAAGGCGTAGAATTGGATGTTAAAACTATTCTAGAATTGAGAGGAACTAATATTTAGGGGATTTAGTTGTATTCTAGAAATGTTACTCATTCTATTGTAGCATAAATATATGAGTAGTTCCTCATAATTGAGTACGAGTTTTCATAGAATTGAAAAATCTTAACCCTTGATTTAAAAAAGTAAAAAAGCAAGAAAGGAGCTTTGAAAGTTTGAATTGGATATTCCAATTATTCTAAAAATGTTAATTTTTTCTTGTACTCTACCATATACGAGTAGTTCCTACTTACAAGTAATGATAACACCGAATTTACATTGACATAGAAGATGTTAACGTTTGATCTTAATTAACATTAGGATAAAAAATTCACAATAAAAATAGTTTATTCGATTTAGCAATTTTATTAATAAAAATAATAATAATAATTTATCTAACCAATTTAGAATAAAAAAGAGTTAGAACCTTATAAATATAAACTCAATACACATACTACAAAAAAAATATTAAAACCAAATCTAGATTTTATAGCAAATCTCTAAAAGATTTTTATTTTAATTATGATTTATAAATTATTTTATTAATAACAATTAAACTCAAATTTATATATGCACAACCTATCTGATAAAACACTAACTTTCAACGCGTAATGTTTATGATTTTTTTACCTTTTCTAAATGAATTTGATCTTAGATAAAATTGTAATTATAATTAATTTAAAACTTTATTATTGATTTTATTCATCGTTGGATCTTGAAGATTTCTTCATTTATCAAGCTAGCAAAATAGGACAAATATTCATTATTTTCAAGATTAACACCTCTTTTTTTTAGATTTTTGTTTTAAAAACGTTTGTTGATTAATATTTATTAAACTATATAGAAAGACTTACTATTAAATATTTTGTATATCTTTTCCTTATTTGAGATATGTAACAACAACAATTTTGCAGAAAATAAGTAATATCAAAAATGAAAAAATCAGCAGAGAATATGAGAATTATACTAATAATTTAATTATCTCAGTAAAAAGAAAAAGTAAGAAAGGCTTAAATTCGAAAATATAACTAAAGTCGATATGGCGCTCTTTCGATTTTCTTTATTCTTAACTATAGATTTACAGAAGTAAAATCAATTATGTTATATAAGTTAATTATCTTAAATAAAAAAAATTAGAGAAAGACTTTGTGAAAAGTTATACTTGATTCTTTGGGTATACAATAGTATGTCCATTACCTTTTAATTAAAGCTTTTTCTATGTACACGAAAATGCAAATACATCGAATTACCTCAATATTCATATTTATCATATTTTTGAACTCAACATTAAATCTAGAAATACAGTCAGACCTCTTTATAACGTCATCCCTTTATAATAGACATTCATCATAAAAGTCGAGTTTTTCTCGAAAATCGAATATTATATTATGTTATAATATATGTCCTCTATAACAACACTTCACTATAGCAGCAAAAAAAATTCGGAATAAATAACGATGTAATAGAGATATTTGACTGTACATGTGAAATGTCACTTAGTAATAACACGTCATGTTATGAATAGTTTAATAATATTTAGATAATCTATTATAATTTTATACTTATTGATAGTAGGAAAACGAGAATTTAATCTACCAAAGCAAATAATTAGGCACATATGGTAAATTTGGGGAGGTTATCGCGAATTCAAAAACCTTAGGGAGGCATTTTATTGGCATAAAACTATTGGGAGAGACATGAAAATATCACTATACTTTGATGACGTTGTAAAGTCATGTAATCCATTGTAGTGAAGCCTCCTTGATAAAACGCTGTCGTTTCGAGGGGTGGAAGACAACGTTAGAAACTTGTCAACAGCTTCGGCATCCACTTCCCGAACACCGATATACACTATCTGAATTCTGAATCATGGGATTGGAAGAACCTGCTAGAATTTCAGCCAATGTCGGAAACAGCAGCGACGGCGGCGGCGCCTCCACTTCCGGCAGCGTGAAGAGGTTCCCACTGGCGGCGCAACCGGAGATTATGAGAGCCGCCGAGAAAGATGACCAGTATGCTTCCTTTGTCTATGAAGCTTGCCGTGATGCTTTCCGTCACCTCTTCGGTCTCTATCACTACACCCTTTTTCTTAGTTAGCTTCACTTCGTAACTGTATATCTTTCTGAAATTTGTAAGTTCCTGTTTTTTCAGGTACAAGAGTCGCTGTAGCTTACCAGAATGAGGTAATTCCCAAATTTTCCTTTTGATGCTTCAATACTGTGTCGTCCCGAGTTGTTAACTTCATTAGACTATGTGCAGTGTGAAATAAGGAAAGAAAAAAGATTTATTTTTTGTATCTAAAGAGTTGAAAAACAAAATAAGCGATTTTAATTTTTTAACTTTTGTTACTGTTGAGTGGATTAGGGACCTTTTATGTAACTTGAGATTTGTTTTCTCTGATTGATTACTCTGTTTGTTGAAATGAACTTCATTGCAAAATGCATTTGGCGAGTGATGTATCTGAATTTGATTACTAGTCAGAATGAATTTTATTCCAATGTATTCACCTAATTTGGAAATTCAGAAAACTGCCACTGGGAGTTTTTCAGCAAGAGTCACCCTCACCTTTTACTGTGAACTTTCACACAATGTTTTTTTCATTCTGGTCCTCTTTTGGTTGGGGTAAGCCCAGGTGGTTAGAGTTAGAGTTCCATATGGCATCCTCGTAAGCTTAGGAGATCAAAGAAATAAAAGAAAACTATAGGTGGCAATCAGAAAATGACGTAGTAGTGGGTTGAAAATTTTGTGTACTCCTTTTACGTTGGATATGAGTTGATTAGAAGAAGTTAAAATGATTAGAATGATCTAGCATCAAGCGAACGATGTGATTTCAGTGCAAGAGCAACTTGCTTATCTCGAGGGCATATTATGAAGATAACTGATAATGTTACCCAAATAGTGGCTATGCATAATTCAATTATTTGCTGTAGAATTGGACGGGAAAGAAGAATTATGTTTATTTTTTCTCTTCCAACCATACCTAACAACAAAAGTAATTGTCTAGTTTTCTCTCCTCCTTTACACTTTCCTTTTTCTATTGTGGAGCCAAAAAGACATGCAAGATAGCCTGTGGGTTTTAATTGTGAAGCCTAACAGTTCTAATTTCGTAAGTTGTTTACCTAGAAAATATACCCTATGGATAGCGATCACTTCCTAATACTAGCATTTGGTGCCCTCTTTTTTTTTCAGGCAAAACTCTTGGGGCAAATGCTCTATTATATGCTGACAACGGGTGCAGGGAAGCAAACACTAGGAGAAGAATACTGTGACATCACTCAGGTTCAGGGAGTATATGTTTTGCCCTTTCTGCCTCGGGACAAAGTGTCCTGAGCCATTTGGCGTTACTTTTTTTGTCTTGGTTTTGTCTTCACTCATTTTTACTACTCCCTCCGCTCCAATTTTATGTGTGGAATTTGACTCAGCACGGAGTTAAGAACGATAGAAAGTTACTTGAAACTTGTGGTTCTAAACCTGTCATGATATTTTAGTGATTATAAAAGCATGTCATTAAGGGTAAAATGTGAAATTTAGAGTTAAATTATTTCCAAATATAGAAAGGTGGCACTCTTTTTGGAATGGATTAATAAGGAAATAATACCACACAAAATGGAACAAAGAGTATCTTATTTGATAGGGAGGAAAGGATAATATTCTCTCTTGATTAATGTGTCCATGGATATATTTCCTAGCATAATTGTAATGTTCGCAAGCATGCATTTAGACATTGTATAAATGATGTTCTAGCTTACATGTAATTGGTTCCTTCAGCAGTTATATTTATCGAGAAGTTTTAGTCTAGAACATTCTTTTTTTCTGCTAAGAAGTCTTGGTCCAAAATGTTGAACGTAGAGTTCAAAACCAGTCCACAGTTCTAAGTTATACGATTTTACCATTTGATATTCAAAACTGCGTCAGCAAATATTTGCTGTTCTCCTGTGCAATTAAGCGTCTATGTTCCCATTACAGTTTACTATTACAGGTTGCAGGACCATATGGGCTTTCCCCTACACCTGCAAGACGTGCTCTTTTTATTTTCTATCAGTCAGCCGTTCCATACATTGCAGAAAGAGTCAGGTTCATCTACATTTTGTAGGAAACTTCATAGAAAGACATGCACATCTCTTACTTCTCCTTGTGCCAATATTTTATTAGTGTATGATTTTTGTAGACCATATCAATATTTATTGCCTTGTTATTTATTTATTTATTTATTTATTTATTTTGTGTGTGTGTTTTGCAGTTCTAGAGTAGCTTCCCGTGGCATCACCCTTACTGATTCAATGGCCGGCTATATATTTGGGGACGTTCGTACTTCAAGCAACGAAGCTGAGGCATCAGCGACTGTTGAGATACAGTCATCTTCAACATCCACTCCCTCAATTTCAGCTCTTTCAAGATTAAAAGCCAAGATAAGGGATTTCTGGTTGTATGCTGTTCGAAGGTGGCCTTCGGTATGCTCCCTTCTTCCTAAGCTTTTTGTTATGTGAGATTGCCAAAGCCTGGGTGTTAAATGAAGTGTTTCTCTCTCACTTTTATATCTATTCTCTGTCACATATGTTATCCACAGACTCAGTGAATAAAGTTGCTTAAGTTAAGGAAGCATCTATGACATCTTGTATTTCCTGGAACATTTTAGACTGTTGGATGGTGATAAACTCTTTGAATCTTGTGCACTCGCCAATTGTTAAGCCAGGGGTGCCTTGTGGAGTATTATTACAAATAAATGTTTGTGATATTCTATTTATGTAGGACAAAGGTTTAGAATTACTTCCACCCTGAGTAGAATGCCTCGTAGCACGATAAATCCCTATTTACTGATGGTCTCCCCTTGGAGCTGCCAGGGCTGCTGACTGCCATGTTCAACTCCTTTATGTAACTTGCCAAAGTGGCTAAGATAGAGTTTACATGTAGAGATAATTGGGCAGTACTTTGAATTTTTGTTAAAACAACATACATCCTTGCTGATTTTTGTAGGTGCTTCCTCTTGCTCGTGAGGTCTTGCAATTGGTTATCCGGACCAATCTCATGTTCTTCTATTTTGAAGGTGACTTTATTTGCCACAATAAACTTAAGTGCTGCTAGTTTCTGAAACACATGCTGAAAGTCATTAAACTTCTTTTTACGGCAGGATTTTATTATCATATATCAAAACGTGCTGCGGGCATTCGCTATGTGTTCATTGGCAAACCTATGAACCAACGACCTAGGTAAATTGCTTCCAGCTTCTGTTGCAGAAATAGTTGTATGAAGTCTATTGTCTGTAACTCTTTGCATCATTAGCATCTGTTCTTTGAAAAGTGACTTTTCCCTCTGACCAAATTTGGTAGATTTTCTGGCTATATAATTTTTCCATGCTTTTCTTCTTGTGGAGGAAAACAAATTTCACATAAATGGTTCTTTCATTGGACCAAGATGACATCCCTTCTTGTATACCTTGGGACAATATTTTTGTATCATTGCTTATTAGTTTTCTGCCAGGTACCTGTGTTCTTTTTTTTAATCTTTCCCTGATTTTTAAAGGAAAAATTTAGAGTACCGTTTTTCAAATGGCAAGACTGCTTAATTTTGCGAAAATATTTTACATTGGACGTGTTGCCGCTTTATGTGCTTTGGGATGTGGGTAGTCAGCTACTTCACTTTCATGTACCACTTAAAAGTTTTTCCGGCCATTTTGCTTAATTTTCTATATCAAACTTCAAAGTAGTGGATGATCCTCTGTCTGGTACATAGTCATCTCTTAAGATAGTGTGGTTTATGGCTCTTATCTTCATTAAGATGTCAGTTGGACTTTAATGGGTGGCCAAAATGTTCTTGTTGTGCAGATATCAAATACTAGGGGTCTTCCTTCTAATTCAATTATGTATTCTTGCTGCTGAAGGTCTGAGGCGTAGTAGTTTATCATCCATTTCAGCTTCTGTTCAACAAGCACCCTTTGGAACCTATCAGACTTCTACAGGTGAAACATTTTGCATAGTCTCTTGGTCTAAGAAATCATGACATTCTCCGATTATCATGTGCTAAATGTTTATTTATGTTGATCACTCCAAAATACAAAATAATTTATTGTGTGAAGAAAAAGAATAGTTGTACCCATTATGGACTTTCATCACCTGCTCCAAGGGTGTCACTAAGGCTTCAACACTAATAGAGGAGAGAAGGAGATTAATTTCAAAAAAGCAGTTTCCTATGATTTGGAAGATTTGATCATGGCAGAAAGAGTGATTATGCGTCAGAAAGTTACAAAATTTGGTTACGGTCATCAAGTTCACTTTTTGTATCTTTGCAGTTATGCATCTCTTGTAGGTCTGCCAATATGCACTCGTAAATTAACATTTTGGCCTTTTCTTTTTTTGATGAAGTAATTTGTTCATTGATGGCATCAAGAAGATGCAGTAGTACAAAAGATAATACAGCAAAAAGAACTAAGTCAGCTCTAATACAAGAAATGCTAATCTAAGACCAAGGTGCTGACAAAGTTCAGAAAGCTGTCAGGGGTGTCTACAGGGGACAATTTGTGCCAACTAAAAAGAAACATTAAGCACCTAGCCTTAATAGAGTGAATTGGAGTTGATACACCATCAAAGCATCTCCTATTTCTTTTTGTCCATAAACACCAAAAAATACTAGCAGGGATCATTCTCCAGACTTGTTTGATGGCTTTATCAACTTTCCATGTGTTCCAGTTTCTAAAGGCTTCCTTGGTGTTCTGAGGCATGACCCAGTTGAGTCCAAAAAGTGAGAGAAACATGTTCCACACATCTGCAGTACTGGACAGTGTAGAAACAAATGGCTGTTGGTTTCTTCATTGTTCTGACACATGTAGCATCTATTTACAAACTGGAAGCTTCTTTTCCTTAGATTATCCTGAGTGAGGCATGCATCTTGTAGTGCAGTCCAACAAAAGCAGGTGACTTTTAAAGGAGCTCTTGTTCTCCAAATAAACTTTCATGGCCAGCTTTCTACCATTTCATTTTGTGCTGTCAAAGATGTATATCCAGCCTTGACAGAATAGCAACCTTCCTTGGACTTGCCCCACTTTAGCTTGTCCACTGCATGAGCATTGATTCCATTATTCTCTAGCCTTGACAGTAGATTTAGCAGCTCCTCATACTCCCAGTCTTGTATATACCTTCTAAGAATAATGTTCCAACTGTTGTTTTCCCTGTATTGAGCAATGGATGAGTCAGGATCACAAGAGATCTGATAGAGGTTTGGAAAGTCATCTTTTAGAAGACAGTTCCCTAGCCATTTATTTTTCCAGAATTTGATGAGTGTCCCACTTCCCGTAGAAAAGTAGGCATTCTGATAGAATTCATCCCAGAGTCTGCTAATGTATTTCCAAGGTCCAACTCCATGTGAGGCTCGGGAGATTTTTGTACACCAATGGCTTTGGGCTCCATGCTTAACTGTGACTACCTCTTTCCAAAGTGCTTGGTTTTCCTGAGAGTATCTCTATAACCACTTCATTAGTAAAACTTTTGTTATGTGCAGCCATATAGAACATTCCCAGTCCACCTTGTATCTTAGGCATTGTGCATTTAGACCATTTGACAAGGTGGAATTTGTGTTCCTTACTGTTCCCTTCCCACAAAAAGTTCCTCCTGATTTTGTCAAGTTGTCTCAGTACCTTGCTAGGCATAGGGAATAATGACATAGTATATGTTGGAATGCTATCTAGAGTGCTGTTAATCAAAGTAAGTCTACCACCCATTGAGAGGTACTGCATTGGCCTTTCTATGTTAGTTTTTTCTTTCTTCAGGTCTATGGTAAGTATCTTTTTCACTTGTTGGCTGTAACCTTTTCTCTTTGTGCCTTTAGGCCGAGGTTTACCTGTTTTAAATGAGGAAGGCAATCTAATTACTGCTGAAACTGAGAAGTATGGGCTGGTTGCTGAATCCACATCAACCTCAGAGGTATATTTTGTTTTACTGTCAAGAATTAAGTTTTTTACATAATTCATTTAGGAAATTTAACCTAGAGCGAATTTTATCACTTTTGCACTATTCAAAAATTGCTAGTAGAGTAGTTGAAGGTTATATGAGTATAACTTTGACTTTGTGCCTTCTATAATGGGTTCCACTCTAAATTGTCAGACTTCAAGCACCCTTCTTTTTAATTTACAAAGTTACCATAACCTTCCCCTAGTTCTATTCTATATTGCAGAAGTCTCCGTTCCATGAGTCAAAGCATTTGACCTTCATATCTTAGTCATTAACCAACTAATATTTAAAACTAAATTTTAAAATACCTACGCTTTATTATGTCAAATTACATTAACTTCTATTTTTTTTTAAATAGAAAATTTTCACTATGTTGATTCACACTGATAGAATTGATTAGTAAGGTCTTTCCACTCAAACAGACAGTAGTGAGTTCGAGGATGAAAGAACCAAAAATAGTAAAAGCATGTTTGACATTGTCTTCTAATAAGATATTTGAACAAAATAATTCATGCTGCACTTGGCAATCTTGGTAATAACAATATAATTTGGGATACCTACAAATTAAATATTTATGTTGTATATGATGTGCCAAATATGTCAATTATTACTTTCAACTTCACCATTACTTACTAAGGCTGAGAGGTTTAGGGTTCAAAGTTTAAAAGAGAAGGTTATATTACACACACAAACATATAAATGCAGTTAAAGGAGATGCATTGATGCATCTCCTTCTTAGACTAATCATCTTTTTTGTTTCTGCTATTTATTATACCCTTGTTCTCCATTACAAGGTACTCAAGCACATGGAATTACAAATGATTAATCACAACCCCTACCTAGGTCCCCTTTTCATCATTGCTAGCTTAATCTTACGTTTTTCTAGCCTTAATTTTAACTAATCCAACAAATTATTCTTTTGTTGTTTCAGTCACAAGGAAGCAGTTCAAGCAAATGCACGCTTTGCTTAAGCAGCCGCCAAGATCCAACAGCCACACCTTGTGGTCATGTGTTTTGCTGGTATTGACTCCTGACTGTTTCTCTTTTTTCCCATTATTTTGGTTGACCTTTCATTCCCTGCAAAACCAAAACCAGAAAGAGAAAAAAAGGAGCAAAGATGTGAAGACAGCAGAAAAACTAAATAAGAGATTATGAAAGAAGAAGAAAACGACATAATGCTCTTACCTTTTGTTTTGACTACTATTTGTAGGAACTGCATAATGGAGTGGTGCAATGAGAAGCCTGAATGTCCTCTTTGCCGTTCTCCTATAACACATTCAAGCTTAGTTTGTCTGTATCATTCAGATTTTTAGTCATGGATAGGTCAGATATTGCAAAAAAATCTGCAAATAAATCACCAAGGCCGGGTCTGTTCTCGATGTGTCAGAAAACATTCAGTGGTACAGTTGTGTACTTCATACTGAAATGTGGGATCTCTTTTATTTTCGGGTGCTGGAAGCCATAATGGGGTAAAAAGGGTGGTTGTGAGCTGTGGAAGGAAGTAGAGTTTTGCTATTGATTTACTAAAGTTAATGAGGTTAACTTTTGTGCCATGTAATGGTGTAGCAGATTCATTTATGGAAAGCAAGCACACAACAGCCATTCCTCGTCTTACACAACACCGCTACTTGTCTTGCACTGAAGAAAAAGCATTGGATTTCCCTCATAAGAAGTTTTTGCTGCTGTTCCGTATATCGTCTATATTACATATGCTTCGGGACCAGATTGACTGGATAAAGTTGCGACTGAATCAATCATTGTTGAGGTATGACTGGTATTTGTGATGTATGACGAAACACATTTTCACCTGTGGTATTCAAAAGAAATTAGTTTTTTCAACCTCAAAATTATAGTATGTGGAGGTGTTACAGCTAACTGTCTCTGGTTTTCTAAACCGAAAGAGGAAAATATGCACCTTCCTTTATTTACTTCTCATTTTATACTTCTATTGCATTAGAAATACATTTCGTTGCTTGGTCTACTTAGCAATATTTGCTCGGTACTTCAGTATACCTGGAAAAAGAATTTACCAGACCATATTTTGACTTTACATTTGAGAGGATAGTATCAATAGACATTAAAGAACGGATGATCCCTGCAGAAGAATCACCCAAGTTAATAAGCCGAGCTGCATCATTTCGTTAATGCTGAGAGATTTGCTTTTATTTTGTCATATTTATTATTATTGTTATTTTTTTGAAAACTTTTCACTCACGTCTTAAAACTCATTTTAAATTTTTTTGATTATGTTTTCTAAGTTATTGTTTAGCAAAAGTATCAACCAAGTAATATAGGAAGGAAAAAGAAAAGCACATTTTGGAGCTTAGCAGTTTTGGAAGATTGTCAATGAAAGTCATTTCCTTTCTTATTTTCTTTCTTTTTTGTTCTCATTTTATTTTAGCAAGTGAACCAACTCTTAGGGGGTTGAACTAAAATTTATAGTCGTGGATCTGTCCTGTCCCTCACTCATGTATGTGCTACTTCAAGACAAGTATTATAATGAGAAAATGTGGGACAAATAGTACTACATTCGTGTAGCTCTCTGACAAATGAGTATTTTCCAGAGGGGTAAAAGTATACACAGGCAAAACTCAGTACTATTACTTATAAGATGAGAAAGAAAAGTTTTCCTGCTTATAATTTAATGAAAATTGGGTGAATCGTCTCTAACTGTCAGACCAAATACTCTTTTGAGTTTTGACCTCCTTATACATACCAGACAAAACTTCCATTCATTCTAAGACACACTTTTTTCACATACAGAAGTATTGGAAGTTAAATAACATAACAGCATCACCAATCCTCAAACCATTGCCGAGATAAACTCTGTGGAATATAAACAAAATGAGATATTACGCGCTTTGATATGGTGAAAACATATGTACTGATTCAAAAACATAGTACCTTATAAAGGACTAAAGTTGCTCTAAGAAAAGGCAAGATAATAAAGGCATGAGTTGCTAAAATAGCTCACTCAAAACAGAAAACAAAGAGAATTTCTTTTTAATCTTAATTGTATATCTGATGATATAAACTACAGAAAACTTTAAAAGGGGGTGTTGTAGTTATGACTTATGATGGTATTGTAATTAGCTAAAGTAACTTTTCACATATAAGAAACTAGTTCTAACTCCAGCTATGTCCGAACAGCAACACTACTATCAGCGACTAAGTGCGTATTTTGGAAAAGTACTCAGCATTTTTTCTAAATAACAGCACTCTCATCAAGCTTCAACTTAAATCTATATATATATATATATA